GAAAATTGCACGTGGGAAAAGTTAAGCCCCGTCACTTATGACCCATCTGATTTCTAGACATTTGAATTTTTAAACGTACACCTTAAAATTATCTGCATATTCGCCTCTAGGTTTAGAATTGGGGTTTTGATTAGAGTTGGGGTTAGGTTAAGGTAATTGACAGAGTTGGGGTTAAAGGTGCCAAAATGCATACCGTTTTATGCAAATTACTTCAATAAATTACCCTCTTCAATAAAAAAACAAATTCGTTTATAATCTTTTTTTTTGTTTTGGGTGGCGGGGATTAACTTTTTGGCGCGGCGTATCTGGACAAGTCCCAAATTTGTTTACTATCGTCTCTTTCATTCAAACTGTGTACACATTGTGTGTGTGTGTGTGTTTGTTTGTGTGTGTGTGTGTGTGTGTGTGTGTGTGTGTCCGCTCTTTTTCTTTGTCGCTGATCTAAGCAAATAAATTCTACTACAGTGGTGACGGACTTCACTTAGATTATATATTCCACATAGTCCACATAGGGGTTGGTGTGATCGAGTCTGTAAAGATGAGGCTCGTTAGCTGGAGACAGCCACTCTTCTAGGAGAGACAACTCCAAAATCAAACAACTACTGCCTCGTAGTTTGTTCTTTGTTGGACAAAAGCTATGGAAGCAAATCCAAAAAGAAAAGCAGGCTGGAATCGGATTCAATGGCCTCAATGTCGCATAAACAGTTGACACGTATACTTAATTGTGTTGGAGTAATGGTCGAGTCGGCAAAGCTCATGGTTGTTAAATTCGAATAAGTCTCGAGTTCAAACCCTCTGGCTGATAAGGCTCGATCCCTTCCAACACTAAAAAATTAAGAACGAAGTAGAAGAAGAAGAGATAACCGTGTGGACACACTTCTTTTATATTCCACATAGTCCAGCCCGCACTAAGCTCCGCCTTCTTTACTTACCCTTTCTTCGTGAGTTAGGTACCCATCAGAGTTAGATCATCTCCTGTAGTCCCGAGTCCGTACGGATCCGAACTCGAAACCTTCGTGCTACAAATTAACTTTTAAGTAGAGTCTAGTACTTGAATTTTGAAAGAGATTGGCTTAAAATACAGAATATAAAGTTTCTAAACCGAAATTTCAACCCCTTTATATTAGACTTTATGCAAGACAGGTACCAATTAGTCCAACTTCAGGGGGTCGGCGTGGTCGAGTCGGTAAAGCTCATGGTTGCTAAACCGAAAAGTCTCGAGTTCGAACCCTCGGGCAGATGAGGCTCGTTAGCTGGGGACAGCCACTCTTCTAGGAGAGACAACTCCAAAATCAAACAACTGCTGCCTTGTAGTTTGTTCTTGGTTGGACAAAGGCTATGGATGCAAATCCAAAAAGAAAAGCAGGCTGAAATCGGAGTCAATGGCCTCAATGGCGCATAACCAGTTGACACGTAACGCTGAATTGTGTTGGGGGCGTGGTCGAGTCGGCAAAAAGTTCATGGTTGATAAATTCGAACAAAGTCTCGTGTTCAAACCCACTGGCAGATAAATCTCGATCCCCTTCAACACTAAAAATTAAGAACGAAGAACAAGAAGAAGAAGTCCTACTGCAAAGGCATAGCGACCCTACCCGGCGGCCGGGGACAAACTTTTGATTTGCCGCCCCCCCCCCCCTCAAACTTTCGATTTGTTTTTCCAACCCATTTTGACGCCACCTTTGGTCGGCGCCCGGGGACATATGTCTCGTCTCCCCCCGCCCCCCTCCCCCCCCTCGCTACGCCTCTGGCCTACTTACACTTAATCGCTGCATCTACACCTTAATTTTACCTTAGTTTATTTTCATAAACGTTTACTTTTTGGATATTTTAAATCTGTTTAATGACAGTTTGTCTTGATTATATTTACTTATTTTCATATTTAAAATTTTAACAATGTTATTTATTCTGTTTTTACGTTATCATGTTATTCTTAAAGCTGTTTGATTTATGTACGTACACCAGAGGCGTAGCGGGGGGGGGGGGGGTGAGGACCGCACCGGGTGACACCATTTAGGGGGGTGACACCAATGCAAAAAATAGCAAAATATAAAGAGAAAAACTTGAGGGGGGGTGCAAAAAAAAAGTTTGAGGGGGGTGGTTGAGGGGGGTGGAAATCGAAAGTATGAGGGGCGGGGGTGGGGGGGGGTGCAAATCAAAAGTTTGAAGGGCGGGGGTGCAAATCGAAAGTTTGAGGAGGGGTGCAAATAGCCTCTGTGGGGTGACACCATTATGTGCCGCACCGGGTGACACCCGACCTCGCTACGCCATTGACGTACACTATTAATATTAGATATTTATCCACTATGCTCCATTAACAATGACGTCATTATTATTGTGTATCATTTTGGAAATTGGACTTTCAATTCTATTTTTATCTACGACAAATGACATCATTTTTGTGTTGGTACTTTCCGTGAGTTTCAACTTTAAAAGTTTCGTTTCTTCTGACTTGATAAGATTATTTCTTCCAAGTTTCATGTGACGCCGTGCTGTTTCCCTTTGAAAGTTTTTAACTTCGAGTTTTTTTTTTTTACAGTATGCATATCTTCCACAAACATACATTTTTACATACTTAGGCCTACAGAGACACATAGTTCATAAAAGACACATAGACTATGTAACAACACGTATTATTCCTTGTTGTTGTGGGTTCGTTTTCATACAGGAACACGAGCAATAGTTGTAACTTCAAACTACAACTATATTTACACTTTATACAGTGAAATGATAAATCCATAGTAAATCCATATTAGAAGATAAGATACACAACAGGTACAAGAACAGTCACGAATCAAAGTGACCTGTTGACATCCTACATTCACAGCCACAGTCCAAGTCCTTTCGTTCAACTTGCGCTCCCTTTTAACACGTTTTTAACACGTTTTTCTTAACTCAGCTTCGCGTTTGTTTGTTTGTTTGGATGTTTGTTGTTAAAATTGACATCGAAAATTAGCCCACTTCTGATTGCTCTATAGATCTGAAATTTGGCATGCAGGCTACTTTCGCCTAACAATTTCAGATGCAATCATAAAAACTAGCAATTAGAGACCGTAATTAGCTTAATTTAATTACGCCCCAAGGACCATAAAATTGAGGACATGATTTCTAAAGATACCGACAAGACTGGAGGCCTATTTACACAGTTACTTCGGCCCCAATCGATGTGAGCGCGCTGGCCGTGATCGTATAGTGGTTAGTACTTCGCGTTGTGGCCGCGACAATCCAGGTTCGAATCCTGATCACGGCATGTAGGCTTAATTAAATTACGCCCCTTCTCTTTTTAAAGCGTATCGGTCGCTCAAGATTTTTAGTCCGTGTATTTATAAACACTAAGTCAAGTCATACTTAATCAAGTCATTAGATAAAGTAGAAAATAAACTATATAAAAAACTTTTTAAAAACCACGTTTTTCATGTGTAGCAACGGACTAAAAAGGAGAAAATAAAATACTTAAAAAAAACTTTTTAAAAAACCACGTTTTTCTTGTGGACTAAAAAGTAAAAAATAAATTTTTCTTTTGTGCTTCCTCGAGCTGTGCAGGTTCTTGTGATGACTGACAAAAAACGTGGGTCGGGCAGATGGGTCGGGAAATTTGATGGTGAACGTACCCACGTTTTTTGTCAGTCAACACAAGAACCTGCACAGCTCGAGGAAGCACAAAAGAAAAATTTATTTTTTACTTTTTAGTCCACAAGAAAAACGTGGTTTTTTAAAAAGTTTTTTTTAAGTATTTTATTCTTAACTCAGCTTCGCGTTTGTTTGTTTGGATGTTTGTTGTTAAAATTGACATCGAAAATTAGCCCACTTCTGATTGCTCTAGAGATCTGAAATTTGGCATGTAGGCTACTTTCGCCTAACAATTTCAGATGCAATCATAAAAACTAGCAATTAGAGACCGTAATTAGCTTAATTTAATTACGCCCCAAGGACCATAAAATTGATGACATGATTTCTAAAGATACCGACAAGACTGGAGGCCTATTGACACAGTTACTTCGGCCCCAATCGATGTGAGCGCGCTGGCCGTGATCGTATAGTGGTTAGTACTTCGCGTTGTGGCCGCGACAACCCAGTTCGAATCCTGGTCGCTCAAGATTTTTAGTCCGTGTATTTATAAACACTTAGTCAAGTCATACTTAATCAAGTCATTAGATAAAGTAAAAAATAAACTATATAAAAAAACTTTTTTAAAAACCACGTTTTTCATGTGTAGCAACGGACTAAAAAGGAGAAAATAAAATACTAAAAAAACTTTTTAAAAAACCACGTTTTTCTTGTGGACTAAAAAGTAGTAAATAAATTTTCATACATTTGATGACAAAAAACGTGGGTCGGGCAGATGGGTCGGGAAATTTGATGGTGAACGTACCCACGTTTTTTGTCATCAAATGTATGAAAATTTATTTTCTACTTTTTAGTCCACAAGAAAAACGTGGTTTTTTAAAAAGTTTTTTAAAGTATTTTATTATATAGTCCATTCTCTACCCTTACGTCAATGAGCGATCTCACCCAAAAGCATGGAAAAAAAACGAGTCGCTCAGACAGTCTTTCCGCTAGCCAGGTACTCTACATTCATGCAACTAAAACACAATAATATAAACATACCTAATTATACAGTCTGTGACAGACTATAAAAAATAGAGACATAGTTTTCTATTGGTTCGTCATCAGTAAGGGTTGCCAAATAGTATTCTCACTCTCAAGATATATATATATATATATATATATATATATATATATATATATATATATATATATATGTATATATATCTTGAGAGTTGGTATATATATATATATATATATATATATATATATATATATATATATATATATATATATATATATATATATTGACATAGTTAACTTGTGCGTGTGGCCCGGTCGGGGCCTGTCAACACACATATAGAAAACAAAGGAAGAAATAATGAAATGTACACAAAGGAATACAACTAAATAAATAGACACACACTCACACACAAACACAAAACTCCAAACAGTAATCCAAAGCAGAGATATTTATTTTAATTTTGCTTACCGTGTCATAAACAAGAAATCTAATTTTAAAACTAATTTTGTTCAAATGTAGTCTTATCAGTTTAATATCTGTGTTTTAGCAGTGGTAACATTTTGCTAATCAAATAGATTACTAATTAAGGTCCAAATTTTTATTTCCAATCCCTACAATTCCCCACGTCGCATTCTACCATTCGTACCAATAATTCTCTAGTTGTCGTTGCAGGTTTGATCCCGCTTTGAATGAGTTCCATCAAAATAGAGCGGAATTGTTCAATGGCATAAGCTGTTGGCGCACTCGAACACAAACTCTGAAGTAATTCAATAACAAAACAAACGTTAAAAAAACCTATTATGATAATAAACTTCTTAATGCTCTAAAATAAGTTTAAAAAATGCATTTTCGTCTGATATTATACTAAAAAAATCCTGTATTCTTGTAATAAAACGGTATCCTATTGTTGAAAACAAATGTAAACTATAATAATTACCTACCAGCCCTAGGGTCACACATAAGAGGCAAACGAGCAAAACTTTCGAGCCCATGTTTTTGAGGAACCTTGTTCAGTAGATCTGTATACTAAAAGCGTAAAAAGGTACTACTAAATAGTTATATCTGGTCATAAAATAACTTGAAAAAGGTTAGCTTACAAAATTAAAACTATACAAGTTAAAATGACTTATAATTGATTATATACTATGAAGCTAAACAGACAATACATAGGTTATACAATGCATTCAAATTATACGTTTACGATACAGATCATACAAATAGGTATACAGACTATTAATACCACTATAAAACTAACAAGAAGCGTAAAACTTAAGAAATGCTTTACAATATTTACCTAACGTTTACTAGACGAAGAGCTATGTTAGTTTTGAACGTTTGACGTGGCACATTCGTATTATACTAACATACACTTTAGCTGACAACCAATCAGATTGGACAAAACAGTGGCTCCAGTGGCGTATCAGATCATCCAGAGGTTGGTAGTTATTTAAAGGTTTGGTGCCCTGACCGCTTAGGGCGTACGCAGGTTTTTTTTGGGTAGGGGAGGCGGTAAGTTCAGATAAGGTGCATTTTACACACACACACACACAAACATATATATATATATATATATATATATATATATATATATATATATATATATATATATATATATACTAGCGTACCCGTCCCCCGCGCGTTGCCGCGGGGTTAGAAGAAAGTCTGACGAAATATATTAGAAGGATTTCACCAATGTGTTCCCAATCATATGTTCTTAGACGCGTGACCTTGTTTTCTAAAACTGTGTCATTTAAATGTAAACAATGCCAGCGCTTGGATTATAATAATCGGGACACGGGTTTACCTACACTACCAAATGAAATCCTTGAATGTTCGTTAATCACTCACCGAAATAATGAGGAAGAACACACTTCGTGACCACCCATGTATCAGAAACGTAGAGAGGCACTCTCGGGAGCCCCCCAATAACACTACAGCTGAGGCGCAGCGTAGGGCTGTTGGCTCTTTAAAAATAACAAAGTGCCAGTGTGCTAACGTGCTAACAGGATACCCCAGAGCGCAATATAGCATCCAGAGACAACGATGTAGATTGCATCATTCGCTAAAGTTACACAAAACAAAAGTGATTTTAACCTGTAATTTTTTTTTTTTGAAGTGTTATAAACATCAGTGTGACTGATGCAATATGTTAGCGTTACTAATGGTCTATTATTTGAAGCTCGATCTCAATTTCCGATTAAATCGTCTAACATAGATGCTAATTGCATCATACGCAAAGTGACGAAACTGTACAGCGGATTTCCTCGCGTTACAGAGTTATTTTTAGAAGCGTGACTTTTATCTTTTGTTTTAGTTTCCCTTCTAAACTTAATTTTTAATTTTATACGTAAATATTTACATATTTTGAGAACTGTAGGCTTTAAAATTCTTTGAATATTTTACGGACAATAGGAAACAACCCAGTGTTAATAATCTAACCTTGGTTAATTTTCGTGATTATTAAAAAGAAAACGTATTACAGGGCCCTCAGCATCCCGCGTGAGCATATGGGGTCCGAAACTGAAATTTTTGTTTGCAGCCAGATCGCACCCTACCAGGGTGTGATTTTCGTCAATACACAATTTGGCGCCCAGAGTTTCAGAGCAGCTACGTTAGCACGTGCCACTCATATCATATTTTCATTATTTTGTTCACAGAAACCATATTGGGAGTATTCTCATCAACTCCCCAAAGTTTCATGGCACACGGATGTAAGGTGTCGAACCGCATCTGACTTTAATTTTTTAAATACCGCATATAGAGAAAAATCGAACGCTCCCGTGGCGCCACCCCTGGAAATTTGAAAATGTTTTTTTTGCGCAGAAACCACCCCAGGAGTATCCTCAACATCTTCCCTAAGTTTGATGTTGATCGTGTGAACGATGTCACTGCAATTCACTTTTAATATTTTTATATACCGTATATTAAGAAAAATCGCACCCTCCCGTGGCGCCACCCTTGCGAAATTAATTTTTTTTTTACAAAACCTTTCCTGACGTGTTATAATGAATTCCCCAAAGTTTCTTGCCTATCGGATGAACGGTGTCAAATCAAAATCGACTTTTATTTTTATATACCGTATATAGAGAAAAAACAAATCGCGCCCTGCCGGGGCACTACCCTGCGAATTTGCCTTTTTTTTTTTGCATAAACCTCCCCAGAAATATTCTCAACAACTTCCCAAAATTTCACGACGATGTGATGAGCGGTGTAGTAATGCATAAAAGACAGACAAACAGACAGACAGTCATACATTGCCTTATATATCATACTAGCGTACCCGTCCCCGCGCGTTGCCGCGGCAATAGAAGATAGTCCGACGAAATATATAAGAAGGGATTCATCCATGCGTTACCAATCCTATATTCTTAGACTCGTGACCTTGTTTTCTAAAAGTTAGTTATTTAAATATAAACAATGCCTGCGCTTGGATCATAAATATCGGGACACGGGTTTACCTACACTACCGCGTGAAAACCTTATGTGTACATTAATCACTCACCGAAATAATGAGGTAGAACACACTTCGGTGACCACCCATGTGTCAGGGACGTAAAGGGGCGCTCTAAGGAGCCCCCCGCCCAATTACACTATCGCATAGGCGCAGCGTACGGCCTCTGGCTCCTTAAAACTAACAGGCGCCATCGTGCTCATAGGATAACCCAGAGTACCAAATAGCATCATGTAAACAATGATGCACATTTCGTCATTCGCTGAAGTGACACAAATGAACAGGATTTTTTTCTTTAAAACGTAAAAATTATTTGACGTGTTTTAAACATGTGTGACTGGTGCAATATGGTAGCGTTACTAATGGTCTATTATTAGATGCTCGATCTCAATTTCTGACTGGATCGTCTTATTATAGATGCTTATTGCATCATTCGCAAAGTAACGAAACTCTACAGTAGGCTCCTCAAATTCAAAAAGTTATTTTTTTCATCTTTCGCAAGGTGACGAAACTGTACAGAAGGATTTCCTTGCGTTACAAAGTTATTTTTAGAAGCCTGTTGTAGCTTTACCGCTGAATATAGCAGTACCCCTTACTCGCTATGCAGGACGCTCAATTAACGGATGCCAAGTGCCAACATGGTCGCTCTAAAACTCTGGGCGCCAAACCGTGTATTGACGAAAATTGTACCCTACATGGCGCCGCCCATAAGAAACTATGAATATTCTCATCTACTCCCTAACATTTCATGGCACTCGGATGAACCGCATCCGAGTTTTATTTTTTATATACCGTGTATAGAGAAAAAAATCGCTCTCCCCTGGAGCGCCGCCCTTGCAATATTAAAACAATATTATTTTTTTGCAGAACCCTATCATTGAGTGATCTAATCATCTCCCCAAAGTTTCATGGTACACGGATGAACGGTGTGAAACCGAAATAGACTTATTTTTTTATAAACCGTATATAGAGAAAAATCGCACCCTCCCGTGGCGCCGCCCTTGCAAAATTAAAAAAGGAGGTTTTTTACAGAAACCTTCCATGGCGTGTTCCAATCAACTCCCCAAAGTTTGATGGCGATCGGATAAATGCCGTGAAAGCGCAATCGACGTTTATTTTTATATACCAAATTTAGAGAAAATCGCACCTTTCTGTGGCGCCGCCCTTGCAAAAATAAAAATGATTTTTGACGGAACCATTCCCTAGATTTTTATAATCAAGTCCCCAAAGTCTCATGGCTATCGGATGAACGATGCCAAACCAAATTCGACTTTTATTTTTATATACCGTATATTAAGAAAAATCGCACCCTCCCGTTGCGCCACCCTTGCGTAATTAAAAATGATTTTTTGCAGAACCCTTTCAAAGAGTTTCATAATGAACTTCCCAAAGTTTCATGCCTTTCGGATAAACGGTGTCACTGCAATTCACTTGTATTATTTTTATATACCGTATATAGATAACACTCGGACCCTCCGCCGCCCTTGCGAAATTAAAAATTATTTGTTTACAGAACCCTTCCCTAGATTGTTATAATTAATTCCCCAAAGTCTCATGGCTATCGGATGAACGATGTCAAAACAAAATTGAATTTTATTTTTTATATACCGTATATAGAGAAAAATCGGCCCCTCCTGTAGCGCCGCCCTTGCGAACTTAAAAATTATTGTTTTACAGAATCCTTACCTAGAGTGGTATAATGAACTCCACAAAGTCTCATGGCTATCGGATGAAAGATGTCTAACCAAAATTGATTTTTATTTTTATATACCGTATATTGAGAAAAACAAATCGCGCCCTGCCGCGGCGCCACCCCTGCGAATTTGAAATTTTTTTTTCGCAGAAACCTCCCCAGGAATATTCTCAACACCTTCCCAAAGTTTCACGGCGACGTGATAAGAGGTGTGGTAATACATAAAAGACACACAGACAGACACAGACACACAGACACACACATTGCTTTATTATATATATATATATATATATATATATATATATATATATATATATATACATATATATATATATATATATATATATATACAGTTGTACCTCGACATTTGAGTGCCCCGCCGACCAAAATGTTTGAGAAACAAGCTGTCGAGCAAGCTAAAATTTGATTTGACATACATAATTAGAAAAACATAACTTCACACATAAATTCAGATACACACAACATCCAATTTTTCATCAGCTTATCTGGGGATAAGTAATGCGGGTTTATAAAGAAAGAATGTGCTTATTATCTACAGCTCACATTGTCCATACAGTTCCTATAGAGCTGAGATTTACTCTAAAATATATAGCGACATTGCAGATGTAAAGCTGCGGTATAGCTCTTTTCTTACTGACAATGCTCCTGATTTCAAATTTAGCAGAGTTTTCCATTGAAAGTTAAACCTTTGTTTTTCTCAAATTTATCTCACATTATTAGTTTTGTTGTCTTAGATTTAATCATTTTCATAAAATAATGTATCTACACATGTAGATCGTCTCTGGGTCTACCCAGCTGTGATGGGTACCTAACTCACCTTGGGGAAAGTAAAAGCTGCTGGGCATAGTACTGGCCACACTATCGCTTCATATGCCGAGGTCACAAAAACAGTTGAACTCTACTTCACTTGCCCTTTAGACCTCAAGTTTATAAGGGGTACATTTCTTAGTTAGCTTACACACGCAGATTCAAGACTGACGCCAACTTGAGATTGAAGAAGGTATGGGTGTTGTTGTTTAGAAAAACTAATTCGGTCATAAAATACAATGTACATCGATCTATATTTTAGGAGGGCAGTACAAGATGTGGCTAAGCTGCCGAACTTACATTGGCATATGTAAATAGTTGGCATATGTAAAGAGTGGGCATATGTAAAGAGTGGGCATATGTAAAGAGTGGGCATATGTAAAGAGTGGGCATATGTAAAGAGTGGGCATATGTTAAG